GCCGACATGTTCTCCGGCCTCCTCACGCTTGCCCACCAGCACGGCCAATCGCAGTCGGTCGCCTGTCCCGGCCGCGTCTGGCCGGCGGGCTTGCCCCCCGCCCCGCTGGAGCACGGACTGCTGCTGCTCGCGCTGCTGCAATTGGCCAACTCGACTCCTCCTCCGGCCGCTCGAGGAGGCCGGCCCGACAAATGCGTTGCCCCGCTGCCGCCTCCTCAACTCCTCCCGCCCACTATCGCCTTTTTCCCACCCCCTCCTCTTCCGTCTCCTCACCATCATACTCAGCATCCCCCTCCCCCTCCTCCTCCTCTTCCCAATTATCATCATCATCATTACCAACCACAGCAGCAGCAGCAACAGCAACATCAGCGGGTCTGTCTGGCTGAGAGCAACCTGCTGCAGGAGCTGGCCCTGGCCCAACTCAATGTCGTGCACGGCTTCGTCGCCTCCTCCAACTCGGCCTCGTCATTCCGCCCCTCCGAACGTCCCCTCTCCCTCTCCCTCTCCCTCGCCGCCCCCCCCAGCCCTAGCCAGTCCGGACAGGCCGGCTACGGCTGCCGGCCTCGGACCCGCGGAATGGCTGACACGAGCCTCGCTTCACCCGACGACGGACGCCGGCCTCGGGACTCGTGCCCAGCGGACGCGACGCAGACTCGAGCGACGACGGAGACCGCCGCAGTCCTCGGCTTCACCGGCTCTCCGACGGCCACGGCAACACGCGGCCCCGTCATCGGCGGACGCCTCGGCAGAGCACAGAAGAGGACAAGTCAAGACGCCGGACAAGACGACGACGACGACGACAACAACAACAATTACGACAGTGACAACGACGACGACGACGACGACGACGAGGATGAGGACGACGATGAATGGACCGGCGACGGCGACAGAGAGAAAGACAAAGACAGAGACAGAGATAGAGATAGAGATAGACAGAGCAGCATCGGAAGCCGCCAAGACGCCAGCGAAGGTGGCAAGGAACCGGCCATATTCTACGACCCAGAACCGGCGGACGCAAAGCAGAAGACTCGAGTAAGAACCATCCTCCCTCAACAACCCTTTGTTGTGTCGAAACATAACACCTTTTAGAGACTGCCAATTGACCCGATATAAGAGCTGTATTACCTTTGAGGTGTTAAAGCACGAGAAGTTGAATTTTCACACAATTATATGATCAAGCGAGGTGGAGGGAAGGCTGTAAGATTCTGCGAAGACGTCCTCATCTCGCCGTCCTTCCACCTCGACTAGTCAATGGTCAACTTTTGTCTGTCCCGCCGTCGTAGACATTGTCAACGCGGAGCATCATCATTGAGGGGAAATGTCCCAAAGTTCAATATTGTGTTGTATTTTCAAGCGTGATGCTTTCTTGCTCTGACAGCTTCATCCAGCTGAACCGATTGCTTCTTCTTTGCAGAATCCGCCAGTCCTCACTTCACGACGGTCAATTCTCTTTGGGGTTGGGCTGAGAAGAAATGCCGATTCGTAATTTCTCTCTCTCAAAAAAAAGTTATATTTCTATAAGTGGGTTGACCTTGTTGTCGCAACTTGGCCTTGTTGTCAGGGCGACTTAGTAGAACGCAGCTAGTCCAAAATCATCTAGCATAATAATTGTCATAATTGTCATTCTAAAACGTTTCGGCAGAACGTTTGTCGAGGGATTGACTTCACTTGTCTTTTTGACGAGTTCGTAGCTTGTTGCGGAGAGTGGGAAAACTGACTGATGATGCCGACTACGATGCCGGCAAAACGCTTGAGAATGTACCAAGTTCACAGTTTGATGCTGGGAATTATGGCAACTGCTATGGCAGACGACTTCGGACGAGGTGTGTTCTACTAAGTCCCTCTGACAACAAGACCAAGTTGCGACAACCTGGTCAACCCACTTCTATAGATCGAAAGGAGACAGCGACTATACCAGAGGACACACCATCTTGGTCTTCTTCATCTTCAAAAGTTCTATTTCGTTTGCGGTAATGATAGACCAGTGATTTCATATTTCAACAAGCATATAACTAGATAT